TGTGTGTGTGTGTGTGTGTGTGTGTGTGTGTGTGTGTGTGTGTGTGTATGTGTCTATCACTTACAGTAAACTGCGAGATGTTATGTTTATATGAGATCACAGATTTTCAGTGGCACAGGAATTATCTAAATTAGCAGACATAATTATTTTTAACTAGTCCAAGATGTCTATTTATAAACTCACGAGGAAAAGCCCTTCTAATTCGTAAGGCAGGGATCGTTCTTGTGGTTATAGGAGGCGATGTGTGAGCTGGAGCAGGAGAGAGGCGATACAGACATGGTGATCATAGGGATCACAGAAGCCTCTGGGGAGGAAAAATTCAGCGTAGTAGTAGTGAATTGTTGTTTCCTTGAACCAGCAGGATGATTTGGTCAAGTTTGCAGACAACCTGGGTTCATTTTACGACATAGTCCAAGCCAGCAGGGAGCCCTGGTGGGCACAGGGCTCTCCCACAGTGCTACCCAAAGCACTGGAGGGTGTGGTCAGTCAAGTCTGCACACAGTGGGATTAGCATCCGAAGATTTGAAATCATAAAGGGGTTGTAAGCCCCTGCTGACGTAGACCTAGTCCCACAGACACAGCGTTCTGGGTGATATTAAGTGTGGCCTGCAGGTTAAAAGGGGTGGGAAGGGAGGGCGAAGTGACTCAGAGCTCAAAGTGTCTGACCAGATTTGTGCCTCACTTGGGCACGAAGACACAGACTTAGTGTGCGGGCCAAATTAAGTTTGTTTTCAAAAAATAAAATATAAATTTTCTGAAATCAAATCTAACTAGATTTTAAAGGGGAAAATATCTAAATGCTGTGGTTTCTTTCCCTCTGGCCAAGGGCATATGGAAACTTATCTAAAAGGGCTTTTTGAGTTGTGGTCTCAGAGACTGGTTAAAAAAAAACAATGCCCCCTCCTTTGGCCTGCTGTGTGGATGAGAGGATAAGTTGCTTCAGCTTTGCCTCATGCTTAGAGCCAATTTAAGGCCCATGATGATGAGAGAAAGGTATGAATGCACCCAGTCTTTGGCAAATGGTGTTTTCTTTCCCTTGGTGTATGGGTTTTGTGGCGAGCAGTCAACGATTTAAAGGAAGGGTATGGCATAAGCCTTTACACTAGACACATAGGCCTTACCATCCTGCGGCCTTCATGACATCAGAAGTCAGGGGACGCGCCCAGGGTGACATCATGCGAGGAGTTTTGAAATCAGAGGCTTGAGTTTGAGTTATTTCCTATTTTCTTGCCTCCTGTAATGTGTGTGAGAGAGAAGGGTCAGTCTCTCAGACTCTTTTGCCCAAACCTCTTCTGGTATTCCGTTGGTTCCCTAAAGAATTTGTCTGGACTGTACGGTTCTACACTTTTCTACTTCCCAGCATTCCCTTGTACGGAGAAATAGTGGCCCCTTGAATTTCTGGACCAGGAATTTAACTTCAGTTTATCCTGACACACTGTTCTCTGGCCTGTACGAGTCCTTCAAACATTCTCTTTATATTTTTTTTTCAAATTTGCATTGCATTTCGATGCCAACTATACCCCAACAACTTCAGACGTACAGATATAATGTTCTTTCCGCAGTCAATTTCTCACCTGCCAAACCCTTTCAGTAAATAAGCATTTGAGCTGTCAAGTTGCTGACTTTCAAATGGAGTCCTTAGGCATGTTCTGTACCATCTAAGAAGTGTTGCTTTATATTTTTAAGGGGAGTGCTTGGGGCTAGAGGGGCGCTCAGTGGTAGAGTTCTTGTCTAGCATAGAGGAGACCCTAAGTTCAAGTTCTAGTCCCAGTATGATAGAAACACAAAATGAGTTATAAAGCCGTGTCTCATCCTTGAGAGGTATTTGGCCCATGAACTGGCTTCTGTGGCATAACAAATGAATCTGAACTTACTGGCTGAAGCAATATTTATGTCCCCGTTTTATTCAGTTGACATTTTGAGCTGAGAACTGTGAGGTGGTGGGGTCCGGGCTTGGCTGGGCTCAGTCCCAATGGAGTGGGGTCAGCTGCTTGTGCAGCAGACCAGCCTGGGAGAGGTAATCTCACTGTCTCACGTCTCCTGGCGGGTCAGGTTGGTTTGTTTACATGTAAGGGCAGATTTCTTAAAGGGCCATGTCAGGTCTTACGATCTAAGCTCAGAAGTAATATCTTCTTAGAGTCTCTCCTGTTCCGCTGGTGAACACTAGCTACCGTTCAGATCCCCACTCCATTGTCCCTTCCCCTAAGGATGCCCCAAGGAGCACAATCCCACTATGAATTGAAGTGTGGGTGGGGCAATCACTGGAGCCATTTGGGGGCTTGCTGAATCTCTGGAGGGTGGTTTTCTGATTATGCTGGGTCGCAGCCCTGGAGGGGTGTGAGGTGAATGTGGTCTGGGAGAGATTCTGAAAACGGAGGAAGTGACCTCTGCTTTAACTGCAGCACCTTATTAAAGTCCAACCTTTTGGTTGGAACGTTTGAGTGTCCTGCTTCAAGAGAGTAACGATAGATGGATAGCTGCAATACGGATGTGTAGGAAAGGAAAACCGGAACCCTAAATAGGGCCGTACCTAGTGAGCTTGTCTGTTCTGTTTTACCCAGGCTGCCTGGATCACTCTATTTTATGTGGTGTGTGCCTAGTGAAAGTGCAGCTCTGGGAAGAGAGGAAAGTTAGCATCTCTCAGGGTTGGATGGGACCTACCTGTCCACAGACACTGAGGCACACGTGCTGCCTCTGTTTTCTATCCCAGGATTCATATCTTAAGTGTCCTTATTAAAGTACTTTTAGGTCAGGTTAGGCACTGGAAATAATCTAAACAGACTTGATTTGTGTGACTTTGAAAATGTGTATTGAACCCAAGCTAGCTAATATTTTTCTTTGGTTCTGGTTTCAAATGGGGAAATATGCTTAATTATGGCTTGCATCATGGCTTGGAAATTGTAGCGTTTATATGTTGATGTAACTCGCCTGAATGTAAAAGGGGACTATGTATAGGTAAGCGAACGTATGTAAATGGATCCGAAGCATGTTTGGCAAGGGATGGAAGCCAGAAGGGAAAGGGGAAAATTGTACTACCTGCCAAACATTTTGGGGCCACTGGCCAAGGATTGCCTCCACTTCCTCCAAATTGTAGCTGTGTTTGGTTTTCAGCCTTTTACATAAAACTCTATTTAAGTTCAGCCACTAAACTTCGAGGAGAGAAGTAGGAAAGCCTTTGAGTGATTTCAGCACAATTATTTCTGGAAAAAGAGTAGCTTAAGTGTGTGGTGGCTTTCACAGCATACAGGAGTGGACTCAGAACTTCATTTCAGACCGAAACGCTGTGGGGCAAAGGTGAACTATTTCCATAAATTTTCACCTATATCTAATGAGCTAGCTGTATTACATACTACTGTGACTTTGGGGGCAGGGAGAGGGGAGCCAGTTATTTAAACTGACAATTGTTCCCTTAAAACATCCTGCTACAGGATCTTCTGATTCGGGCTTGGAACTAGCCTACTGGCTGGCTTATAAGTTTCAGGTTCAGCTAGGTGAGGTTTAGACATCTCTGCCTCCTACATAGTCTCCCTGGGGTCCAAGCTCTGAAGGAACAAGACTTGGGGATCCCTATCTCATGACAAATGACAGAAATGCAAACCAAAGGAGAAATAGTTGACGTAGCTGTTTAGGCCGGTGCCCGTAAATGGCCCCCAACCTCCTCTGCTCACATGTGACTGCCAAAGTGGGTCATAGAAGTAAAGTCAGCATCAAGGAGGATGTTAATATGCTCTATTTGAATGGGAAGATCTATATAGACGTCTTAGACAGAAAATGTATTCAGAGAAGTATGGGGGTGTCCTGAACGATACTATATGCCACCACCTCACCTTTGAGAGGTTCCTGTGTTCTCTATGGTAACTTAGCCCATTGTCAATGGCCAATTTAGACAGGGCTCTTCCAGGATCACATGGTCATTTTCCTGTAACCAGGGGTAAAGTGCTTTCATCATTGCCTAATGCTTATCTGGATGTAAAGTTTGCTAGAAGAGGAACTCAGAGAGGGGTCGCCCTTGCATACTTTATACACCACTGCTTACAACACCTACGAAGCATTTTAACCATCAAACTCTCGTAAATAATACTAAGAATACTGCATACCAGTAAGATACTTCACATACTCTTATAAAAGAAGGAGCTATGGAAGATTGAGTGATTCAGAATTATATTTATTATTTTTAGACATAATATTTGCATTTAAATATCAGAAATAGAAAAATGAATGCCAGACTTTGAAGACATAGAGGCTACTCAATTCTGAATTCACATGAGTTTCCAATTCCTGGCATTACATTGTTTTCCTTCCTGGAGAAATGATTCCATCACTGAACTTAAACTTCTTTTCTCTCTGGGCCTGGAGGTGAAATTGAGCAGATTTTTTTTTTTTTTTTGCACAAACAGCGTCACATTGTCTTTCTTCTCCCCCTAGATTGATGCTCTGCCAGAAATCATCGAGGCTGTGGAAGGGAAGGTGGAAGTCTTCCTGGACGGAGGTGTAAGGAAGGGCACTGATGTTCTCAAAGCTCTGGCCCTGGGAGCCAAGGCTGTGTTTGTGGGGAGACCCATCATATGGGGCTTGGCTTTCCAGGTATTTGGAGGAGAAAATAAGCGAATACAATAAAATCCTTTAATAGCGAAATAGAACCAAGTCAGCTTACTCAATACTTTAATATCTTTTACTTGCTTAGGGAGAAAAAGGTGTTCAAGATGTCCTTGAGATCCTGAAGGAAGAATTCCGGCTGGCCATGGCTCTCAGCGGTAAGTCTCAGTGCTCCTTGATGTTTTGTCACCACAACACAGCCACAGACAAAACTTAATTGAAGAAAAAAATTATTTGAGCTCGTGGTCTCAGAGGCTTTCAGCCCATCACCATGGGGAAAGCATTGCGGAGCTCGTGGCAGAAATCGAACTAGGAGCTAAGTTTTAACCTAGGGGACAAGAATATACTTTCAGGGATCATTTCTATAGTTTATTAACCTTGGGGTGCTTTGCCTTAGTGACTACTTCCACCATCTAGTTCCCACCTCTGAAAGGCTCCAAAGCCTCCAGCATGGCCCCACTCCTGGGAAACAGGTACTGACAACAGGAGCTGTGGAGAACACTCCAGATTCAAATGACAGCAGGTTCTTATCCTCATTTACTGCTTTTTTTGTTTTCTGTGGGATTTAAGCCAGACTCCTTGGAGGACAAAAGAGATCAGGGGGACTGAACTTGCAGTTGGCTTTATATTTATGACTCTGAGGCCCAGCACTCTTGGAGAAGTAGATTTACAGTGTGCCTAGTTACTTAGCCTTCAGCTTTGACAACCCCATCAGGGATGCCTTTGTGGGCAAGAGGACTCTAAAAGTAGGTAGAGCATCATTCTTTTCCTCACTTCTGGATACATGACTGCATAGATCCGACTGGCCAGTCAGTTCGAACTCTTAACTAAGCGCCAGGTCAAACTCTACTTGTTTAAAACCCTGCCCCTAACTCTCCGTTAGGCCTATGCCACCTGCAGCCTCTCACTCCCAGTTTGCCCTCATGTCAAAATTTCATTTGCTCTGTCCTGAACTCTCAACACTTGCCTTTTCTTTCACATCATGTCATCCAGAGGGGTTGCTCATTACAATGCAATTTGAATCTGACCCCCTTCATCACACCCACTGCCCACTTCGTCACACCAAGTGACTGTCCCATTACTTTTGCAGTGGAATTGGGGTCTGCTTCTTTAACCTTGTCTACCTGCCTTCCCCCGTTCTCCTTTGATCACAGAAACCAGGGTAGTCATTTAAAACATTAACTTAGCTCATAGTTCTCTTGGATCAGACCCCTCCAATGACTCTGGACTTAACTCAGCCTAGATGTCAAAGTCCTTACAATAGTTTTCAAGGGCCTTACTACCCTTCCAGGCAGAGCTTTTACCCATGCTGTCCCTGTTACTGCACCGAAACTTCGTTTGCCTCTTAAAGGTTCCTTGATTATCAGACAAGTTCCAGCCTCGTGGACTCTGTGCTACATCTTCCCTCTCCCTTGATGCTCCCCAGATGTGTGCATGGAGACTTCTTCCACCCTTCAGTCTTTCCCGTACGTTTTTCATTCACAAAAGGACCACCTTAACTGCTCATCTATCTCCAAGGTTCAGCTCTCTCTCCCCGTTCTTGCATTCTTTTTCCTTAGACTCTATCACTGTTCATAAGTCATCTGCCACACAACTGATTTTCTAAAACACACACATTATGTATTTTATGTTTCCCCTCTAGAATACAAAACGTGTGACTGGGGATCTTTCCATCTTTTATCTCATTGCAGGGTTTGCAGTGTTTAGAGTAGTGCCTGGCACACAAACAATAAATGTTTGTGAGAAGAATTAGTAAGTGCTGTGTTTACTGGGGATTGCTTAGAGTTTGACTCAGAATGGACCTTTAGCTGATGGGGGGGGGGAGCTTCGAGTGAGTTATCAGCTTCCCCATTTTACATTGAAGTGAGATTCATTTTCTGTGAGCCACAGGGTCCAAATAACCTTGCTAGCTACAACTCCCGAGATTGTTTCCCTGCTACCGTGCAGCGTGGGGTTGCCGGAACCTTCAGGAGAAGAATGTCATTCTGTGAATCCTCACTACACATTTTAATTTGCTGCAGACATATCCTAAACGAGAGCTTTCAGACGCTGGCTGTCTATTAAATGTGGCAGAAAGAATACAGTCTTTGTGCTAATAAAAATATGTGCCAGTCATTTTGTATTAAGGACTGTTTAGGTAATAAAAATGGTCTCATGCCACATAAGATTTGGCAAGCCTACCTTGAATCATAAACCTTACATTTGTCAAGTTTTACATTCCTTGGGAAAAACGATTACCTGCCTGATTATTATTGCATTCATTTCATATTAAATGTATGCATTATTTTTTTTCAGGGTGCCAGAATGTGAAAGTCATCGACAAGACATTGGTGAGGAAAAATCCTTTGGCCGTTTCCAAGATCTGACAGTGCACAATATTTTCCCATCTGTATTATTTTTTTTCCAGCATGTATTACTTGACAAAGAGACACTGTGCAGAGGGTGACCACAGACTGTAACTCCCCACTTCAATACAAAGGGTGTCGTTCTTCTCCAACAAAATAGCGATCCCTTTTCGTTCATTGCTTTTGACTTTTCAATGGGTGTCCTAGGAACCTTTTAGAAAGAAATGGACTTGCATCCTGGAAATATATTAACTGTTAAAAAGAAAACATTGAAAATGTGTTTAGACAACGTCATCCCCTGGCAGGCTTAAGTGCTGGGAAACAAAAGATATCCTCTGGTAAAATTGGAGGTAGTGGACTGAAGGAAAAGATAATGACCTCCCTGTTTATTAACCTGTCTTATGTTTAGATTTCCTTAAGACAGTGCTTCTTACAGTGTGTGCTGGGCTGTGAAATGCTGGAAATGCCCAAAGAAACATGACGCTTGGATCTGCTGTGTTGAGAAAACAGCACTAGGTAGAATTGAAATGGATGGTGGTCATTTGTGATTTTTCTAGGGACTTTTTGACTTTTAGCACCTAGGTCTCTGAAGGTGTATTTCCAGCCATGTATTGAGTATGTGAATGTACCTGAATGCCGTGTGGTCGTCACCCTGTTTGAAAAGGATATGTCTTGTCCACTTGGGCCAACATGAAATGACTTTCATTTTTGAACTCTGTCTACTCATTCCTTTTTTTTGAAATACTGATTTCCTAGCTCCCCCTGAATCTTTCCCAATCCTCCTCACTTATAGCCACATTTAGGGTCAAGTATGTATTTTGTGGGGTTCATGGTGAATAAAGATAAGGAATTTTTGCTCAGAAGGAAGCCCCCCCTGCAAAAAAAGCCATTTACTTTTACCACAATAATTTCCATAATTGTCAATGTTGCTTTCTTGTTTTTTTCTACTTAATGTCATTCTTCCTTGGACATGGGGCAGTAAAGACATTCTACCATGCCAACTGAAGACCCTATGAAATACCTATGGTTCTCACTTGCACCTTGCCCTTCTTAGACCCATGCCCCAGGACTTGCACAGTGTGGCACAACTTGACTCAGTATACACTCCACTTGTCTCATTGAATGTCACTTCAAAGACACAGTTTTTGAAGGTAAAATTGTTAGTCGTTTAAATACAACAACCCTTCTGTACACTGTGAAGGTAACAACACAGGGCTGTTAGTTTTAGTCCCAATGTGAGATTTCTGCAAGGGGAGGCACACTTGCCTTCTGCAGTAATTCTGATCAAACATTATGGAGTGTTGAATGAAGTCACTGAGAAAGAGACTTGCCATCTTGTGATCTTCTCCATTCAGCTTCTGAATCCCAGGTCACTGCTAAATGATAGCAGTGTGGACTTGGGTTTTCCTTTTGAAATTATGTCTATGTTTGATTGAAACAAGAAGTCACTTATTCTGATAAAAATGGGAAGAGTTAGCTTTCATCTTTTCCTCCAGATGTGGAGGAAACATTATCTTCATATTGTACCATGCTGTACTTTCTAGTTAATCAGTGAAGAAGTGTTCCTTACTGATTAGCAATTTTTTTGCTGTTAATGTGCAATATGCATTGTGGCTGCATTGCTGGGGATGCCATCCAAAAATGCTGATAGTAGTTCAGGAAGTGAAGTTCCATAAGAAGGATTTATTCAAGTTACAACAAGAATGGATGTAGATGTGTAAATTTCCTGTAACTTTTTGTAACATCAGAACTATGCTATGTAGATTTCTTTTAATGTCTTCAGGGATAGACTATGTCCCCAAACCCCAGGTTGGGTAAATTTTCTATAACCAGAAAGATACAGTTATTTGGATCTGTTGGAAAGAAATAAGGGTACAGGAATGGTTGAGGCAGGAATGGAGAGGGTTGATTACACATTGCTTTCCGGGAGTTCTGCCATTAAACTTTGTGATTGTCTTTTCTCTTTCTGATTTCTTTTTTTAATTTAAGTTTATTATTTAGTACACAAAACACAAACGTCATACACAATCATGGTGTACTTTGGAGGTTTTGTCATGCACATATGTATACTGTTCAATATTCAGCTCTTCTCTGAGTCTTTGAAAAATCTTTTAGGAGAAAGCAATAAAGAAAAGAGCTTCAAGAGGTTGTGCACTTGTCTGTTGTGCCACCTAGGGTACAGTGCAGTAGGGCAGTGTCCCTTAAACCACAGCTTGTATCCAAACTACTTACAAGATTGTTAAAACAGATCGTTGGGGCCATCTGCAACAGCTTCTCATCCGGCCAGCACAATGAGCCAGTTGTTAGGTGTGATCTGTAGGGAGAGACTACGTGCCACCTAGAAATACGAGGCACTCTTTGACAATCAATTCTTACTGTTTTATTTTATTTCTTACTGAGGCATAAGATGCCTATTCAGAGCGTGTAAGGTGGCAAGGAGCAGAAGTGTGTGTGGGTACATTTCATACAACTATAGGTTCCCTGTAGACCATGATGTAGAAAATTCCCACTGCTTCTCACAGTACCCTCTCCTGAAGTAAGCATCCCTGGTGTCCAGGGCCACTGATTGCTGTTGACTGCTGCTGAACTGTAAACAATACAAACCTTATGGCATGTGCTTGGGTATATGGGGTGTTCTGTACATTACATGTAGAAGGCATTAATGTTGGTTCTATCAGTAGTTGGTTTTCTTTATTGGTCTGCAGCATGTTGTGATCCACTGTGGGGCCTTGCCACAGGATATTGATCTCTTCTCCCATTGCTACATGTCTGGCATGTTCCCATGCTGTGCTTTGTTTTGAAAGTAGCGTCTCCTTCTCATGAATGCAAACGTAGTATGATTTTATGCCTTCTCCAGAAAAAGCTATCCAGTTTGAACACGGAGAAAGTTATCTTCCATGGAGATACGGCCGGCATCTGGTTCAAGAGGCCTCAGTTCCCACTCTCTGTAACATCTTGTCCTCACAGTTGTTTGTTTCTCTCGTGGCTGGAAGAGTTCTTCCACCCTGATACAGACTTATGCCTGGGGCCTCCATCGTTTGGGATGGCTGCCAACAGAAATCTCCAGAATTTCCTTTGCTTAAGCTTGCTTATATCCTACTACCTGGAAGAGTGTGGGTGTGAAATAAACTTCCTCCTGACTACTGGGTTTGGGCACCCAGCTCTCAGGCCTATAAGGGTGAATCCTGTGGGCCTGATGCTCCTTAGCGTGCTGTTTGCATGCTACATCTGTAGCCTAGCTGTGTTATTCATTTGATTGTTTATCTGGCCTAAACCTTGACGTTTGGGAAACAGCTTGAAAGGGCTGCGGTCCATTAGGATAGCATGAAAGGAAGTTGTGGCTTGTTCTCAAAGAAGAAGGGAAGAGTTTTTCCCTTCTCTGTAAAATTCATAATTTATTTACATGCACTGTGTTGCATGCAAGTCGCATAGCAACAAAATAAAGTCTGGGTATGGAAGTCTGAGGGTTTCACTTTGCATAAAGATGGAGGGCACACTCTGACTTTGTACTCTTTTATAGTGGGTACCACATCACTCGCCAATTATAGAAAGACTGCAGGGTGGCAATTTATTTTAGGTATTATGTTAACCCAAGTGATACAAGACCATTGTTACATGTTTATATTATGGGAAACTTTCATCCATTCTAAAGAATGCAATTTCCTGGCCTTATCCAAATCTAACTTGTGCAATAGGGCTCTTCTCTTTAATTGGCTTGTCCATAGACAGCTGAGGGAAAAGCAAAAGATGCTTCTATGGACAAGTCATTTCCTGTTTGCTTCACTAAGGATAATTGTCCCAAACTAGATAATGACCAGGTTCCACTGAAAAGTTCCCAGATTCTTCTAAGAGTCAGGAATTGGGGAACCCTAGATGCAGAAATGAGGGCTGGGGTTTCTGAAAGCCACATTGCCCGATTTCCCTTTCTCCTTTGATACAGTGCGGCTGGGGAAAAGTCTTTAGCCCAGCGTCCTACCTGTTTTCCCTGGTAGAGTCATTTATCTTTGGCTGATTTGTTTTCCTTTGCAGCTAAGCTTGTGTTTGTCCCCAACAGTGGTATTGCTGGAGTAACGGGCAGGGAGAGCTTTCGCATCATATGCTACAGTTTCCTTAACACAATCACGACATTAAAGCCAAGGTTAGCTTGTCAGGAAGCCCTGGATTAGGTTAGTGAGGACCTGCATGTCTGATCTGTGAACCGTAATTCAGCCTGAGACCCCCTCTAATCTCGGCTGTGAAATGAGGACCGGTGTCTGCACAACACATCAGGTTATTATGAGCATAACAGGAAGAAGTAGAAGAAAATGTGGATTGTAAAATAATCTTTTAAAAAGGGAAATCTTATTAACAATCACCAGTAATATGGGAGGTAGTTTAACAAATGCCAATGTACATTTTATGTTTATTTAGAATTGACTTTGTGGTATGAATAATTATTTGAAAATTTAAACAAATCAACAGAAAAGAATAAAAATTATCAAATATTTTATCGCATGAAAATAACCTATTTGTGTTAGGGCTACCGCCTCAGAAACTGCTGTGTATACATAAGAAATAACAGTGATATGGGTAGATAATAGACAGGGATGTTTTTTCTGAAACAGGGCTATATGTTGTGTTATATTTAAATAAAATGTTCATTTGATTTTAGTGTGAATTTAGTAGAAGAGAACATGAAATGTAAAGGAGATTCTTAAAATTAAACTGCTTGCTTTCCCTTTAAAAAGAGATGTTATAGCTTTCACTTCACTTCCTGTATATTTTAAAATTATGAAAACTTAAGAGTCTGGGGTAGTTTTTGGCTTCCGGCACATACATTTCAATTTCAGACAGCATTTGTTGACCTATGGCAGTAAAGAGGTAATGAGACTCTCACACCTGTTCCTCTGTTTTCTTCCAATCTTGTGAGCAAGTTTCTACATTGTCATATACTACCAAACACATGGCTTTGTATCAGTAAGGCCAGTCCCTCCCCACCCCACCCCCAGCAGCTCTTTCCCATCTTCCCTAGGCTCTGGTCCTTCTTTGATACACGTGGTTTTTGGCTTCACTGACTAACTGTTAACTGGGAGAGTGACAACATCCAATGTGCTTCTGTATGTTTAAAAATCTTGAGCCATAGATTTGTCTATGTGTCTGGCGATATCACTGACCAGTAGGATGTGAGGACAGACTGTAAGGCATGATGTATGTGTGAGTCGTTACCAAAGCAGAAGTAAGAAGAACATGTGACATGTGGTATGATAACAGCTTTGGGAAGCCAAGAAGGAACGAAAATGTATGTGACACAGAATGAAGAACGTTTAGCAAAGAGAACAAAGCCCTGTGAACTAAGTAGCAAAGCAGGATCTGGTATGAAATCACTCTCTAAGAAATTCTGGCGCCTACTTGGCGTCTATAGATTGCTTTATCATTTGGACAAGTAGCATTACCCAAGTTAAGGACATTGTTGTAATCCTAACATTCACTTATTTGTGAATACTATGTCAGCAGTCTTAGTATAAACAAGCAGGCATCTCAATTAAGAATTAAACCCTAGTAACAGACCATAGCTCTCCCCAAATCAAGAAGGCAGTTTTTAGTTTCTCTTTGACATTTATACTCCAATAGTAGTTTTATGTCCTAATTCTACCATGTAGTTAGTTACTTATTACTCTAAGGAAATACCTGAGAAAATAAATTCAGAGGAAGGGAAAAGGGGTTGGCTCCTGCCTTCAGAGATTGCAGTCCATAACCACCTATCTATTCCTTTGTTTTGCGACTTGGTGAGGCAGCATGTCCCAGGAGAAACACAATGAAAAAGCTCGAATCCCAACAGCCCCTTCTAAGATGTCACAACCTCAAGTAGATTCATCTCTTAAATGCCGCATTTCCTGATGGTGCCACAGAATAACAATGGAGCCTTTTACCATCAGTGACTTCATGGAACATCTAGATCCAAGGCTTAACATATGCAATGAAGTTTAAACATTAAAGAGTAATACATGACAGTCTTTTGAAAATTTCAAAATGTGTGTTTAAATATGATCTGTGTCATGGTGTGAATACTCCCGTTTTAAGTAGTATTTTAAGTAAATATTTTACTTATTTTTAAAGTAAGAAAGAAGAAAGCTTTTGAAAAAGCTCCTTATTCATTTGACTGAACATTGTTAACTTCACTGTTTTCAACATTCCCAAATACATACTCGCAACAACAGCAATGACTATGGTCCAGTAATACTCAAGACTCAGGCATAAGTAAAACCTCAATCTAGCAAAGAAAAGGGGATAAAATGATTTATTTCATGCAACTCTTAAATAGTCGTGATTAAGCCAGGACAGTGTTTACAAAAGCCAGAATTAATACAATTGAAAGGCAGGCACTGGATCACCTGGTGGATTTGTCCACAGACCTGCAAAACCAACTGCCCGCTTTCCAGTAAATATACCACATGATTGTTGTCAAGTAAACATACTTTAAATGAAATCTCCAGATTTCCCCCCAAAGCTCATTTAAGATAAATGGTTCTTGGCTGATCTTCATCTAGGTCTGTTAATAATCTCTCCAGGATTATTCGATTGGTTTTCAACTTTTTTGCCATCCCCCGTCCATCTTGCATCAGACATGCAAAAGATGGAGAGAATGATGCATGTGTAAACAGAAAAATAGGGAAAGAAAGGCCTCTGGGAAAGCCAGATTCTGCCCAGGGTTGACTGGCTCTTCTTAGGAAGTCAACAGTTAGAGGGCATAGGGCTTACATGCCTCAATTGCCTCTGCTTTGAAATGACCACTCCAGGAACTCTGGAAGGAGAATATTGTCCCTCTACTAAATTTCCTTTTAACACATTTACTTCTAAAGCTCTTCTGTTATGAATAAATGAAGGAAACAACACACATTTGAAAACATTTGACTAAAGGGGGTATATGATGAATTAATCTCAATTACTTATTCCCTAATAATTTCCTCAAACATACACCCTC